GTGCATATATACGTAAGTCAGCTTACATAATGTGTGCATAAATATATATATATTATATGCACTAATAGTAAACGATGAAGTACAACTTACTTGTTTGTTCATTGTTTCATGTAAAGTACAACTTACCTGTCTGTTCATTGTTTTAGGTAAAGTACAACTTACCTATCTGTTCATTGTTTCATGTAAAGTACAACTTACCTGTCTGTTCATTGTTTTAGGTAAAGTACAGCTTAACTGTTTATTCATTGCTTTATGTGACGTACAACTTAACTGTCTGTTCATTGTTTTAGGTAAAGTACAACTTAACTGTTTATTCATTGCTTAATGTGAAGTACAACTTACCTGTTTGTTCATTGTTTCATGTAAAGTACAACTTACCTGTTTGTTCATTGTTTCCTGTGAAGTGCAACTTACCTGTCTGTTCATTGTTTCCTGTGAAGGGCAACTTACCTGTTTGTTCATTGTTTCCTGTGAAGTACAATTTACCTGTTTATTCATTGTTTCCTCTGAAGGGCAACTTATCTGTTTGTTCATTGTTTCCTGTGAAGTACAACTTACCTGCCTGTCCATTGTTTCCTGTGAAGTGCAACTTGCCTGTTTGTTCATTGCTTCATGTGAAGTACAATTTACCTGTTTATTTATTGTTTCCTCTGAAGGGCAACTTACCTGTTTATTCATTGTTTTAGATAAAGCACAACGTACCCTTCTGTTTATTGCTTCAGATAAAGCACAAGTTCATTGTTTCGTCACCGATTGTACACCAATAGTTCGTATTCACCAAGTGCAGTATGGGCGAAAAAGTAAAATAAATCATTAACCTTCCTGACTATAGCGCATTTGAATCGATAAGTGGTACAGCCCTTGTATTGGTTGCTCCATTCAGTCAGTGTAAGAAAGGTTTTAAAGCGTTTTTTGACATATACGAAAACAATAGAATGTCTGAATTATCTAGAACAATATATTCTTCCAAGACATACAACCAAAAGGGAATACGTATAATAACACGTTCTACATGGAGATATTAAAAAAAAAGAAACGCTTGATTATATAAAACAGGAAGTTCTTCCAGTAGATATTAGCAAAACGAAATGGTTCATTATATAGAAAGATATGTTCTTTTAGAACACATTAATAAAAAGAGATGGTTCATTATATAAAACAGAAAGTTCTTCTAGAACACATTAATAAATAGAAATGGTTCATTATATAAAACTACATGTTCTTCTAGAAGACATTAATAAATAGAAATGGTTCATTATATAAAACTACATGTTCTTCTAGAAGACATTAATAAACAGAAATGGTTCATTATATAGAACGATATGTTCTTCTAGAACACATTAATAAATAGAAATGGTTCATTATATAGAACGATATGTTCTTCTAGAACACATTAATAAATAGAAATGGTTCATTATATAAAACGAAATGTTCTTCTAGAAGACATTAATAAACAGAAATGGTTCATTATATAGAACTATATGTTTTTCTAGAATACATTAAAATACACACCTTTCTGACATAGTAGTGAATATACAGAACAAATAACATTTTGTAACCTTGCTTTGCCCACAGGGCTTACAGATGCAAGTTATATTTGAATATATAAACACATCTTCGAAGAGAATTTCTATATTTTCCCAGTTTTATGGTAGCCAAAAAACAATTGAAGCATGAATGTTTCGGATCAATTCAATTTCTTGAACATTCTTCGGAAGAGTAAACATTAGTTTAGGCAACAAATAATCATTCAACAAATTTCAGTCTGCGATTTGAATTTAAAATTCTCCAACACATGCCACATAGCCGTTAGTTATATTCCAGCTTTACTTTAAAACATATTTTCAATTTATATATTATTAAAGATCTGGTCACCTATTTGTATATTAGCAAATATCTGGTCACCTATTTATAGATTAGTAAAGGTCTGGTCACCTATTTGTATATTAGCAAATATCTGGTCACCTATTTATAGATTAGTAAAGGTCTGGTCACCTATTTATAGATTAGTAAAGATCTGGTCACCTATTTATAGATTAGTAAAGGTCTGGTCACCTATTTGTATATTAGTAAAGGTCTGGTCACCTATTTGTATATTAGCAAATATCTGGTCACCTATTTACAGATTAGTAAAGGTCTGGTCACCTATTTGTATATTAGTAAATATCCAGTTACTTATTAATATATTAGTAGAGATCTGGTCACCTATTTATATATTAGTAAAGATATGTTCACCTATTTGTATATTAGTAAAGATCTGGTTACTTATTTATATATTAGTAAAGATCTGGTTACTTATTTATATATTAGTAAAGATCTGGTCACCTATTTGTATATTAGTAAAGATCTGGTCACCTATTTATATATTAGTAAAGATCTGATAACTTATTTATATATTAGTAAAGATCTAGTCACCTATCTGTATTTTAGTAAATATATGGTGAGCTGTTTATATATCAGTAAAGATCTGGTCACCTATTTCTATATCAGTAAAGATCTGGTCACCTATTTGTATATTAGTAAAGATCTGGTCACCATTTTATATATTAGGAAAGATCTGGTTACCTATTTGTATATTAGTAAAGATCTGGTTACCTATTTGTATCTTAGTAAATATATCGACACCTATTTATATATTAATAAATATCTGGTCACCTATTTGTATATTAGTAAAAATCTGGTCACCTATTTGTATATTAGTAAAA